CCCGCATCCCTCCCTTACCCTCCCCCTATTTTGATGTTCTCTTTTTATTACTTTCTGTGAATTACATTGGGGTACCATAATCTTTCCAGTGCTTCTAAAGTTGCATGTAGTCAGTCTCCCCATGTGGTTAAAACTGTATATGGCAGGGATGCGGAACCCATCCAGCTTTGCCCACTCTGACACAGCTCCGCTGCCTGTCTCAACTCTCCCACCCAAGGTTAGGGGGCAAACATCAACTCATATGCCGTAGAACCTTCAGGTAGGATTCTAAAATGGTGCAGTGAGCATCCATGAGGATCTTAGGCTCCCCACGGCACACACTTGCCTTCCAATGGGTGAAGGTCAGTGGGGCTGGCAGAAGTGACACAGCAGAAAGGCCAGAGCTTGTTCCCACTCTCGCACCCTTGTTGTGTGAGAAGAATGCCTGTATAGGTCTTCTATTCCAAAGGAAACAAATGCAGAACTCAGAACACATCTGCTGATTTGCCTGGGCTTTTGGTTTCTTCGCTAACCTCATGCATAAGGACCCCTGACCATTAGGTCCAGTCGTGACCGACTCTGGGGTTGCGGCGCTCATCTCCCTTTATTGGCCAAGAGAGCTGGCATACAGCTTCTGGGTCATGACTAAGCCACTTCTGGCGAACCAGAGCAGCGCACGGAAACGCTGTTTACCTTCCCGCTGGAGCGGTACCTATTTATCTACTTGCACTTTGACGTGCTTTTGAACAGCTAGGTTGGCAGGAGCTGGTACCAAGCAACGGGAGCTCACCCCGTCATGGGGATTTGAACTGCCAACCTTCTGATCAGTAAGTCCTAGGCTCTGTGGTTTAACCCACAGTGCCACCCATACCCTCCAACATTTCTCTGATGAAAATAGGGACATTCCATTTAATAATAATAATTTTACTATGTATACCCCACTCATCTGACTGGGTTGCCGCAGCCACTCTGGGCAGCTTCCAACATATATAAAACCATTTTTTTTTTTAAAAAGAAAAACCTCCCCTATATGGGGCTGTCTTTAGATGGCTCAGGAGTCCGATAACTCCATACCCTTCACCATTTCTCTGATGAAAATAGGGATGTCCTAAGGAAAAGTGGGACATTCTGAGACCAAATCAGAAACTGGGATGGCTTCTGTAAATCTGGGACTGTCCCTGGGAAATAGAGGCATTTGGAGGGTCTATTACCTGGCCTTTGACACCAGAGTTGTATTTTCAAGACTCGCCCTGTTGACATCCAATGCTATTTTGTGTTGAGGGCTTTATTGGGCTGTTTTTGTTTTTATTATGCATTTTGTATTTTAATATTGTGATCTTATCCTGTGAACTGCCCTGAAACCTGTGGGTATAGGGCGGTATACAAATTTAATTAATAACAACAATAATTTTATATGGTTGTAACCTGCCTTGGGACCTGCTGGTGAAGGAGGGTAATAAAATGAATAAACACACAAGGGGTGATTTCTGGTTTTCCACTGTTCAGCAATATAGGACCAAAGAGGCAGAGAGGTAGATTAGATAGCTAATGCTCAGTAGGTGCAGGAACAACGGAAGCTTGAACATAAAGGGATAAATTTCATTTTACATACTTGTAAAAAGCTGAACATGGATTAAAAGCCATATAAGCAAACTTAGTAGTGTCAGTTGAGAGTAGTGTCAGTTCAGTGCTGGTGGTTGCTAGGTTGCGGAGGTCCTTGTGACACGCCCTTCATTGTGACACCTCCCTCTGCTGGCTCCTTGGTCACTAGGGCTCTAGAGGCATAGCGATCTCCTTTGGTTTGATCATTCAGCGAGTGAGAGAGAAAGTGGATGGAGATGTAAGTAGACTTTCTCATCAGCATCTGGATTCTGTGCAGATAATGCTCCCTGATAGTCTTAGGAAACATCTAAGAGATTAAGATCAGGAATAATTTAAATGCTTCAGCCAGCCCTTCTGGGCATTTTAATGACTCCACCCACAGTTTTGTAACAGTGAAGGGAAGTGACTGTGGATTCTGCTTACACTTTAGGAAAAGGAAAACTAATAAAAGGGCGTTCTTTTTGGGCTAGCGACACAAGAGTCACTTGATAACCAGGGGTGTAGGAAGGGGGTGGGGTGGGGTGGGAGTCGCCTCAGGTTCCATCATGGAGGGGGATGACAAATTATCAAGGAACAGTTACAGTGGTACCTCGGGTTAAGTACTTAATTCGTTCCAGAGGTCCGTACTTAACCTGAAACTGTTCTTAACCTGAAGCACCACTTTAGCTAGTGGGGCCTCCCGCTGCCGCCGGAGCACGATTTCTGTTCTTATCCTGAAGCAAAGTTCTTAACCTGAAGCACTATTTCTAGGTTAGCAGAGTGTGTAACCTGAAGCGTATGTAACCTGAGGTACCACTGTACTGCCCTACTATGGTGGTTCATAAAAAACTTATCTTACTACACTAGGGATTATATAGCTATATATGAAATTTTATGAATATCAGTTAATATCTTGACCCTCATCCACGAAAATAGCTGTTTACTTGGCCGTTTTCCTATGTATCTAAGGCTGAAATTTCAATTCAGTGGAGCAGGTCCAACTCTACAATTCTCTGGCGCAGGCTTGTGCAGAGTTTTAGGTACAAGTTGGATGCATAGGATTGCAGCCCATCTTATGCACCATCAGCTCGGGATTAAGTCCCACTAATCATGATGGGACTAGATTGCTGCTGTGCACTCCTGTTTTTTAAATAAATGTTTTCCTTTTCAGATAATACAGAGCATGGTGAAATCACAATAAACAAAACCTCCCCTTCAGTAGTTTTCAAGCACTACTACAGGTTCTTTTTTTTAAAAAAAATAAATTTTCTTAAATTTCCATTTACCAAACCAATAATATCATATTAATTATTCCAAATTAAACCAGTACATATCACAGAGTCCAAATATTTAACCAAATTTTAATTTTTTTGTGGGGGTACCCATGCTTCGAGTTCGGTAGGGGTCCAATCATCTTATATTTCTGCTGCTTTGATGTTCACAGTCCCATCTTCTCATCTCCTTGTCGTTATCCTTTTTCTTCTTAATAACTCCGAGTTGTATCGCACCACTACAGGTTCCACATAATATCTGTACTGCATTGTTTACTGTGACAGAACCTGCACTTTGGAACTCCCCGCCTATTGCAACAAAGCACGTGCCTTTGCTAGACTCTTTTCAGGCACCTGCTAAGAGCATTCTTCTTTAGGCAAGCATACCTAGATGCTTAGGAAGTTGAAGTAATTTTAATTTTAATATTTTAGCTTTTGTATATTTTAAGGTAGGATTGTTAATTTTTCTTGATTTTACTGCTGTGGGGTTTTTTTTGTTTTGGTAAACCACTTTGCAGGTTTTTAAAAAATAAATTAAATAAAAACTAAAAAACTAAAAAGATTTCACACCTTGGAAAAGGGCATTCTTTTTTGGCTAGTGACACAAAAGTCACTTGATAACTCGCCATGGGAGCATTAAGCATGTCCTCTGGAGAGGGTGATATCTTGCATTGTCTTCCACTCCTTCCTGCCTCCCAGGGCCCATCTTTCAAACGACAGCCAAGGTACAAAACCCTTCAGCATGCTGATGTTTCTTCTATAGTAATATTAGTATGTTGTATTTGATGTTTCTTCTATAGTAATATTAGTATGTTGTATTTGATGTTTCTTCTATAGTAATATTAGTATGTTGTATTTGATGTTTCCCTTTTAAACATCTCTTCTCCACACTAAGCAAACCCACCTCTTTCAATCAGATGATGAGAATTGTCTTATAATATCCAGAGGGTGGTATTCTGGCTACAATATTCAAGCACTCTCTTCACAGGATACCCATTGTGATATGCCTAGGAAAGTGAATTCATCTTGAGCTTTGAGTCGTGAATGCCCAAACCAGTTTAGGGATGTAGATCAGGAGTGAACTTTGAGTCCCATTTCTCACATTTTTAACGGGCCTTCTTTGTAGTGGCTCCCCGTCTGTGGAATGCTCTCCCCAGGTAATTTTGCCGGCACCTTCATTATACACCTTTAGGCGCCAGGCAAAAATGTTCCTATTTAACCAGGCCTTTGGTTGATTTGATTGACAGCCTATGCCCTTTCAAAACATGGTTCTTTTTTGGGACTGTTATTGGGTTGTTGTGTCTGCCCATGCCCCTCTCCTAAGTCCTGAGACTTGGACATTCAAGCCTCCAAATGGCTAGTTAGAGACTGAAGTCAGGCCCACCAGATATTTTGCAAGGTAAATAAGGAGCAAATGATTGCGGGGGGGACGGGACCCTCTTAAGAATTAATTAGCAGGATTTATGGTGCCATCTGTGTAACTATAAAAAAGTAGGAAATGGCAAAAAGAGAGAAATGGTGTTGTCTTTGCTAAACTGTTCTTCGTTAAGGGCAAAGTTGTAAATTATTTGCCTTTCGTGTGGAAAAGGAGGTATGTAATCAGACCTAGGGAAGCAGTGTTTATCTGAAAAGTCATAGGAATTCTATGCTGAGCATATGAAAGAGCAAAGTGATTGCATTTGCTGAGCATTGAGATATTTCAGGCGAGCTTTTAGCGGGAATGGTTAGCTGAAGCAGCAGCACAGCAGCAGCTTCTGCCTGCCTGTAACATGTGGCCTCCATGATACTGAGTATAGTTTATGGGCAGAAAAACCTACACCATATAACCTATTCACAATCACAGGGCTACAATGACCTTTAAATGAGGAGCAGTTTAACAAAGGCAAAGGGGCTTATTACTTTCTGTCCTTGTTAGGCTGCAATGCTGTGCAGACTCCGTGGGACTTACAGGACGATAGCATATCACTCTTACTAGAGTATACCATGGACTGGAGATGCGAAAGTGAAATATAATTAAATGGCAATGGCAATAATAGTATCAACCGTAATCATTTCCCAGTGCTTCGGAAACTAGGTGCCAGGGAGAAAGTCTTGAGATGCGATTTATTATTTGGGTACACTGGGGGCTCCTTTTGAGTAAACATGCTTAAGAATTCTAAAACAACAACAACCCCTGGAATAGCTCAGTTGGTAGAGCATGAGACTTTTGATCTCAGCATTGTCGGTTCAAACCCCATGTTGGGCAAAAGATTCCTGCATTGCAGGGGGTTGGACTAGATGACTCTCGTGGTCCTTTCCAACTCTACAGTTCAATGAGTCTACGTTTAAGTCATCCCCACCCCTTCTGTCAGGCTTCCGGGAATCCTATCTCTCCCATGGTGGGATGCCAAGAGGCAGATAAACAAGAAGAGTTCTTACCAGGATTCAATATTCACATAGAGAGACAAAGGAAAGCGGTTTTCCCGCCCCCTCAATCCCTCCTATTCTATGTTACCACTGCGCCGGCTGATCTATGCTTTCTGCCTCTGAGCTTTCTGTTCTACTACTCTCAAGGCACGCCTGGTCCTAGAAGAGGAGGGGTGTCAGAAATGCTTTCCAGAGATGGAGTCTGTTAGCTGTCTCTCCCCTGGTGCTTCTTTCCAATATTTCCCAGCTTCTCCCCTCTGCAGCCTATGAACTATGCCCTTCTGCAAACCACTGTTCTAAATCTATACTGTCCTCCTCTTCCCAGGAAGGTGCAGGAAGGGGGGGCAGTCCCTACCATTCCTCCTCAGTCCAGTCTCTGACATCTTCAAACTCCCCCATCAGTGATTTTGCTGATGATCTTGAAACAATGCATGGTTCATTCAGCCGCTACAATGGTAAGCTGCAGACTTCATAGTGTCTTACTGTTCATGCATATGCTTTTAGTAGGATGTGCACTGGAATCAAGAGATATCCATTCTCCCTTCTGGAGTTTGTATCTAAGAGACACTTGGAGAATCACCATTATACCTATTTTTGCCTTTGGGGAAGTGACTTGCTGGAATGTTGTTAGTGTTAAGTGCTCATGGTGATTTACCAATCACACCAGAAAATTGGGACGTGTCCCTGCTAAATAGGGGGAGTTTTGAGCATATGTGATATCTTCACATCTGTTAGTGGCGTCAGCAATGCAGATTTTAATTTGGATTCCAGTTTGCCAGATGTGGAACTCCCACTGCCGTCACGGGAAATTCTTCACAAAAGCTCAGGGAGAAACAGAATCGGTATGTAAAGTTTGTCAAATGCCCTGGGATCACTGGATGAAAGGCTCTATTTAAATGTCACTTGTTATTATAAGTAGGGTTTCTTGCATGATTTGACAAAATAATAAATGTTTGTTTTAGCACAATGTGCTCCAATTTCTTGATTTCCCCCTTTCATATTAATCTGAAACAAAGAGACAAAATAATAACACTTTAAGCATCTGGCAGTGATGATTTAATTTAATTTATTTTTTTAAAAAAAATGTTTCAGTACTTGGGGATCTGTTGAAAATCAAAGTGAGGGAAAATACTTTGCAAGTCAGAATAATGAATGTTAATGACATGAATAGCAGAGCAGATTTGGTCGCAGAAAGAGAGGGCACAATTTACTATCATCAACAGTATATTGGATACACACACATATATGGATAGGCTATATTGTTGGGGAAGGAAAGTTAAATTCAGTCTCCTTGGAAAAGCACACCGACGTTTTTAGAATGCATAAGCAATCACCAGCCATAAAAAGTGTAAAAAGCTAATTCCAGGAATTTCTATAGGCACACGTGTGGCTTGAACATTAAGAAGTACCCTTGAGAAGGAGAAGGGAGGGGATGAACCAGAAGGAGCAATTTTATGTTTATGCATCATAATGGCTCTGTTGAAGAAAAGCAAAGAAGTGAGACTTATACTTGTAGCTAAGAATTTGCCACATGCAAGCAACATCCTTTGTTTGCAGAGATGGCATTTCTATGGCATAACTGAATGCTTAAAGGGGCTTGATTCTAACACACCAGCTTTCTACATTCATGCCGCTTGAAGCAAGGCAGTTTGGCCTAATGAAACAAGAAAATATTGGCGGGGTACTGCCATGGGCAAAATCTGAATTCCATACAACTGGTTGGACAGCACATAGGAAACGACCCATAGTTCCATCTAGCACAGCACTATCTATCCCAACTAGTAGCAGAGCTCTCCAGGGTTGTAGGCAGGAATCTTCCCCAACCATGCATGGAGCTGTTGGGAATTGAACCAGGAACGTTTCTTTCCACAAATCAGATGCTCTACCACTGAGCTAGGGCCCTTTTTGAATTTGATGCTATTCAGCGTCTGGTAAGGGGATCATGTTTTGTACCCATTAAGTCTGTTCCCTTATAGAGTTGTTGTTGTTGGCAGAGGTGAAGGAAGGCATCGTGACACCTGCTGCGGGCATCATGACGTCAGGTGCATGTGCGACGTTGCTATGTACGACACATGCGCCGTACATAGTGACGCCGCACATGCGCTGTATAGCGCTTTGCCACTGGCGCCACTCCAGCACTGTACGGACAGTGCCAGGATCCCTCCGGTGCCAGCCGTGAGCAGAGGATCCCGGCACTATCTGTATGGCGCTGGAGTGGTGCTGGCGGCAAACCGCCATACAGTGCATGTGCGGCATCGCTACGTACAGCGCATACATGCGACGCTGCACATGCGTTGTACTTTGTGGTTTGCTGCTGGCAACAGGATCCTCTGCTCGCGGCTGCAGCCGCGAACGGAGGATCCTCCAAAGGCAGCTGCGGCGGCACGATGGTTGCTCGTGCCGCCGTGAGCCACCATGGGGTGACTTGTCACTCCCGCAGGCATGGAACCTGGGGCGTACCGCCCCCATGCCCTCCCTGTTGTGATGCCACTGGTTGTTGGCACTCGTCTGTTTTGATAGACAATGGAGTGCGCCTCTGGGGGTGAAGTCAAACCGCAGTGTTAGCAGCACCTAAGTGACCTCCCCAGGGTGTAAGCCTGGGCAATGTATATGGACACCCTGGGCTGCCCAAAGGACAGCCCCTCCCCCTTTGGCCTCACAGATGTAGTCCAATGCAAAGCAAAATGTTTGGCACCAGCTTGGCTGCAGGAGTTGCTGGAAGGAGGCGTACGAGGCGCCATCAAACCACCTTAGAAACTCCACTCCAGATTTGTGTTGGGTTTATTCCTTAGCCTTTCCTTCTCCCAAAGATATCCCGCAAGGCAGCAGAGGTTTAGGATCAGAGTTTTCCTTTTCCTAGGTGGGCTACCTTCCCAGGTTGACGAGCCCCATCTGCCCCTCACTTCCCTCTACAGCATGTGCAAAAACTGCCTTCTTGACCAATGGACCCACTATTAGTCTCATCCACTCAATCTGCAGGAGTCTGTCTTCACATGCAGGGGTGGTGGTGTCTAACTCACTGAGGGTTTGAGGCCCATCAGCTATCCTCACCTGGTTTAGCCGGTCAGACAAGGCTGTTTCCCAGGGTAAGACTGCCGGCAACATGGTGACAGCTTCTAGGAGCCACAGGCGAAAGCTGAGTTTTCTTATAAAGTGATGCACACTTTAAAACGTACCACTTTGTGGTATGTTAGATTAAGAAGACATGTTGATATATTTATATCCTGCCTTTGGGGCCCTCACGAACAACTTCCCCAGCATAGACGGCTCTCAGAAAGCACAGCATTCAATGAAAACAACATTCAATTTAAACAATAAAATGAAACAAAAAGTCACATGCCAGGTCTGGATGTTAAACATACACAGGAGGGGAGAAAAAACCTAAGCAAGAATTTAAGAAGTATTAACAGAGCGCCAGGAAGACATTAGTGAAGTGAGGGAGCCTCTTAAGGTACAGAGCTCCACACACTAAGCACCACAACTGAGAGCAGCAGCCAAACCTCTGAGGGCAACAGGATGCAGAGAAGACTTCAAAACAGTGCTAGCCTAATATATTTTGCTGCCTGAGGGAGAACAGCAAACTGCATCTCACCCCTAGTAATCAAGGTACATATAGGACTCAAGGTCAGCCAGGTGTTTTCTGGTACCTTAAGCCAAAAATCCAAAAATGATCTCTCCCACTCCTTGGCATATAAAATAAAATCTAAGGTGCAATTTGTTTTTCTGTTGATTTTCATTTTCTAGCACTGGGTCTCACATACACAAACGTGCATTTCTTGATTTCTCTAAAACGTGATTATATTGTACACCTAACAAATGGCAGTTGAAGATGTGATTTGACTCCATCTTGTTTAAGGCTGTATCTGTAGTGGTAGATCTTTGATGGCCTGTTCACACAAACACTTGATGTTCACACATCCACTTGATACTGCAGCTGTCAAGTGATGAACATTTATGTGGGAAGTCAACCAGTACAAGGAAAGGGTCAAGAAGAAAATTCTCTCTAAGTCTTCAGAGATCTTATGCTTATTCATTTGTAAAGTGTAAGTGCAATTCCTGGCAAGGAATCAAATAGCAACTGATTCCACTAAGATCCTGCCATCAGACTACCCAATGTAAACATTCTTTATCATTGCAAATCAATTTATCCTTTCAAAATATCTGAAATTTAGCTGCATACATTCAAAACATTACAAAAATATTTTTCTAAGTGACTGGCCTTTTCTTTCTCACTGAACCTGAAATCTAAATGTATCTGCTTGTGCAATTTTCAGTCCTTTGTTTCACTGACCTTTAATAGCCTTCTGTACTCAGAATAATTATTTGACTTCAGCTGTCTATGAGAGCTACTTTTTCTCATACTTTTTTTGATTGTTTTACTGGGCATTAGAGTGGAAAGGCCATTTCCCACAAGATGTGCCCCTCTCTTGAGTATCTAACTGTTGAATTACTTTGTACAATGAACACAATTTTGATAACTTACGTGATGGAAAGAACATCTTGCAATACTGAATTCTTATCTCCCCTGAAGCCTTCTGTGGCAACTTTACAATATACCTACACGTGGTTTACCAAAATATTGTATGTTCTACTTTCTTAAGGGCATTGGGAAACATAATGAAGTGATGGAGGTCTTTTTGCTAAAAATAGCAGAATGTCTGGGTGGTTTGTCATCACTTCTATAACACATCGATATCACTAATGGACCCACATAAATCCACGTGAGCCTATGAATGCTAGTGATCATAACATAATAGGATTTACAAACTTCATCCACTTGGCAATACTAGGAAGATAAATAACTTTGGTTCAGAATTTGAGCTAATGGTAACTGGCAGG